TTCTGGGGGTGCTGCTGCTGGAGGCACTGGGGCTGGCGGCCCTGGAGCTGGAGCTGCTGAACCCTGGAGGTGCTCGTCCTGGAGGTACTGGAGCTGCCGGAGCTGGTGGTGCTGCTGGTGCTGGAGGTGCTGGTGGTACTGGCACTGCTGGTCCCGGAGGTGCTCGTCCTGGAGGTACTGGAGGTGCTCTCTCACCACAGCAGCTGCGCGAGTGGTACGCTCAGCACTTCCGCCTTCGGAGTGGCGCTGCTGGAGCTGGAGGCGCTGCGGCTTGAGACGCTGGAGCTGGAGGTGCTGACGCTGGAGGCGCTGGGGCTGGCGGCTCTGGAGCTGGAGCAACTGGTCCTGGAGGTGCTCGTCCTGGAGATTCTAGAGCTGCCGGAGCTGGTGGTGCTGCTGGTGCTGGAGGTGCTGGTGCTGGAGGTGCTGGAGCTGCTGGAGACGCTGGAGCTGCTGGTGCTCGTCCTGGTGGTACTGGTGCTGGTGGTACTGCACAGCCGCGACTGTTCTTCGCTCCGCCGTCACCGTCGTCTCTGCCACCGCCTGACTCCATGCTTCGCCAGGTTCTTGACCTTCCGTCTTCTACTGGCCTCCCGTTATTGGCAGGCTCACCACTGCCTGCTCCTTCTCCTTACACTGAGCAGACAGACTCGCTTACAGAGCGTCGTGAGCCTGCGTCTCGTCCTGCCTCGCCTGTTCGCGCTGGTCGCACAGTTCGTCGTGTTGCTCGTCCGCCTCCTGTCCCCGGCACGCACACTATGGCACTTCGTCCTTCCTCTGTTCCACAGCATGTTCCCCCTACCGTCTCCTTCTGCGTCCTCTCTACCGCACATTCCGGACCCTGAGTCTGACCTGGTTCGTGCTGCTCACCCTACTGTCACGCGTCTGTTAGCCACTGTTGTCACTGACACTTCTTTTAACTCTGCCGCTGTGTCTGCCTTCATCTCTGAGCTTGTTGACTTTGCTGCTGCTTGTCGTCTCGACTACGCCGCTAGTCTTGTTGCTGAGTCTGAGCCTGTCTGTCCTCCGTCCGTCGGGGGTGAATGTGCTCTTGGCACGGACGTCCTTGAGGACTGACAGGAGAGTTTTGAGTGTTTTGCGGCTGCTGTACCTCATCTCGTGGCCATGCTGCTTGCACCTGAGGGAGACCCGGATGCACTAGACATCCCGACCCCGCGCTCTTACGCAGAGGCGATTACGAATCCCTACTCCTCTCAGTGGCAGACAGGCATGGATGCAGAGATGGCATCCGCTAAGAGGGTTAAACCGTAAGGGGCCACATGTCGTGGGAGTAAATCACGGTGTTTCCAGCTGCTCCTCGGTGAGTGGAACACTTTGGGTAGAGCGCCCTTCACGTGCTAGTTTGCATGCAAATAAGGGGGGATCTTGAATTTTTATTTATACGTAAAAACGTGCAAGACAATTAATATAGTATCATCAAGGTTTTTTGTTAGAATCCCAGTCACTGGGATAAAATGGCTTGTTTATGTAGCGGGTGAGGGTGCCCATAACCCCCCAGGCCGACGTGCCTGTAACTTTTCCCTAGGATCGATCGTGGATCTCCAATGGACCATTGACATTTTCTATTGGTGGTGTACCTCGTTTTGCTACATATACCGTAGCTTAGACCTTGATTTCTCATGTAAAACCCCTTCTCTTTGAACCATGTTACACTACTGACGCTACTCTAGTTATGGCTCCTAGCCTAAGCTATTTGACTACATTTCATGTCAGCCTCATCAAGCTTCTCTTACCAGCCACAATGGACACCGCACACAAAAATATCGCCCTACGGGCCGCCCTGTTCCAACCGATGCTTTATCCGTTGAGATTTCTGGCATACCGCGTGCAGCTTGACGCTGTGGGCGCCACATCGATTTAATGATTTGCTGAATTGACAGATGTAGTGAAGACGACGCTATGACTTGGTGCCATCCGCATCGCTTGCAGCACCTTTTATTCTTCGTGATTACCTTGCAATGTAGCGAGCTACGTACATTAATCACCTTTCTTGAAGGGGGGAAAGTGTACGAAAATATTCATTTTACTTATTGGGGTTGTCAAACAATATGTTTAATATATACCCTGCGTGCTGTAGTTACTGTAGTTATTATTATTAAGAGTTGGTGGTGCACCTTCTTTGTTGCTTTGCTATATGTACCTTGTGTGCTATAGTGAAACCCCTCTTTCCTTGCCTAAACTCTCTCGACACTTTCTCCTCTTCACCCTAGCATGGCTCCTCACCTCTAGCTACTATCTTGACATGTTATCAGAGCCACCCGTTCCTCGGGTTTAAGTCTTCTTTCTTTACCCATGGTGAGCGCCTCGCTGGCCCGTCGCGCTACGCTCGCCTCGTCGCACCCTCGCTGGCGAAATTGCGCTTTCCTGCCCGTCCGTCGTGCCCCGTGCGCTCTGCCCGTCCATCGCGGCCCCCCGTGCGCCTTGCCCGTCCGTCGCGCCTGTCGCCCTGCCCGTCGATCCGCGCCAGCGCCAGCACCTGCGACTGCCACCAGCCACAGCGCGGAACGCAAGCGCCAGCGCGGACGCTGTCGACGAGCGCCAGCGTCTGTGCGGACGACAAGCGCGAGCGCCAGCGTCTGTGCGGACGACAAGCGCGAGCGCCAGCGCCTGCGCCAGCGCGGAGCGCAAGCGCCAGCGCCCGCGCGGACGCCAGCGACAAGCGCGAGCGCAAGCGCCAGCGCCCGCACGGACGCTAGTGACAAGCGCGAGCGCGAGCGCCTGCGCCACTGCCTGCGCCACCGCCAGCGCCAGCAGCAGCTACCCCGCCCCCCCCCCCCCCCCCCCCCCCCCCCCCCCCCCCCCCCGCCCTCCCTTCCGATGCTTCCGTCGTGGGGGGGGAGGAGGGGGAGATGTGTGGGTGGCGTGTGTGAGCTGCCTGCAGCCCGTCCCTCCCCTCTCTCTTACTGCAGGGATTGTCGTTGTAGAGAAGGGGGGGGGGGGGGAGAGAAGTGCAGAAGGGTGAGGGGGTGGCGGGAGAAGACAGGTGCGGCGGGTGTGAGGAGCCTGCCACTCCTCCCTCCCTTCCCTCTTCCTCTCTCCCTGCAGCAACTGTTGCTGTAGGGGGGGGGGGGAGAGAAGTGCAGAAGGGTGAGGGGGTGGCGGGAGAAGACAGGTGCGGAAGGTGTGAGGTTGACGGGGTTGAGTGACGAGGGGGGTGAGGACTAGGGGGTTCTTAACGGGGGGGGATCGCATTGAGCGTGCGCGCTCATGCCCGCCTAGCCCACCTCCTCTCCTCATCGGGACTTGGGGGTTCTTAACGGGGGGGGATCGCTATGAGCTTTCGCGCTCAAGCCCGCCTAGCCCACCTCCTCTCCCTTCCCTCTCTCACCTCCCCTTTGTAAAAGGAGGTTCGTAAGCGGGTCCGCCGGTCCTGGCCCCCCACCTCCTCTCCTCTCCTCTCCTCTCCTCTCCTCTCCTCTTCTCTCCTCTCCTCTCACCTTCCTCACTTCTCTGCCTTCTTCCACAGCGCTTGGTTTGCTCGTTCAGGGGGTGCTGGCTGCACCAGTTTCTACTGCACGCAGGCTAAGGGGGTGTGTCAAACAATATGTTTAATATATACCCTGCGTGCTGTAGTTACTGTAGTTATTATTATTAAGAGTTGGTGGTGCACCTTCTTTGTTGCTTTGCTATATGTACCTTGTGTGCTATAGTGAAACCCCTCTTTCCTTGCCTAAACTCTCTCGACACTTTCTCCTCTTCACCCTAGCATGGCTCCTCACCTCTAGCTACTATCTTGACAGGGGTGTACTCATTTGCGTACAACCACACAATTTCGGACTCGCACGTTCGGCCGACATCACCGAAACCGTGGCTCCCTCGCATCACCTTTGGTTTTTCCTTGCCAAACCCACACACAACCTTGTGTTTCCAAGGTTCTTGCCGAGCAAGGGTAGTCAATCAATTATCACGTGCCCTCATTCATCGCATTGTCAACTCGTTTATTCGTTCTTCCGTGCAACTCTGTTTTACAAAGCATAACAGAACTCTAGAATCAGTGTGACTGTAGGTGGTATTTTTAGCCTCGTACACAGCAGTACGAATTATAGGTTCGGCAACCTTCCCTCCAATAAGGGACACCAGTCTCCGCCACGTCGGGCTACCGCTGCTTTCTGGGATAGCCTTTCGGTGGTGCTTTGATTGTGGTGATTCGTGGAAGTTGGTCTGACTTGGGTCTGACTTCCTCGGACACGTGCCAGTCGCATCCCGCGCGGCTGGAAGTTTCAGTGAGGGTAGATTCGGAGGGCCCGTAGGCCCTGTTCGACCTTGGGGTACGCCTACACGAGTTCGAACTTGAGAGAGACAAGGGCCTCATGCTCGATGAAATCCGAACACCAAGAAAATATATGAAAAGAAATGTCTGTGGAAATTATGAATAACCCTGTCACACAAACTTTTGAATCTCTCCAAGCTTGTTGCCAAATTTAGTTGCCATTAAGGGATGCTCGTTATAGAATAAAAAAATACCCATATTATATTAATATTATTGAACCTTCTCATCATTATACCAGTATTTTCAAACACCCATATTCTTTTTAATAAAAGCATACTAGTGTTCTCCAATAATAGGATCCTTAACGAAACAATTTTGAAAAACATACATATTTCAATATCCAATATGTAACCAAACAAGGAAGAGTTTTTAAACTAGTACTAGGAAAAGAATTAAGGGCATCACCAAATAAAAGTAAGCAAGATTACTGATCATGATATGATATGACCTTGTTGTATGTTGCTTCCTAATTAATCTGTCTGTTCTTATGGTATGCTAAACGAAGTATGAACTGAGGCGTTTGGGTGCCTGGTTGGACTGGGGCAAGTCCGGGGTTCCTCTAGAAACGAACTAGGCTGCCCCAGATGTATGGCTCCGAAGTAGGAATTTCGGTGAGGTCGGTGGTTCAGTCGTAGAGGCTTGGTGAACACGTCCCAGATTCTCTTTCTCCCTTGCGGCGCACTCCTTTCCTTCGGGACTCAGGATACATATGTGCAACCCAGCGTCAGTCAGCCTGGTCAGTCTCTTTATCTGCAGTCCCTCACTCAGTGCAGCCTACTTCGGCCATCCTGTTCCAGCTGCTGTGTGGTTGTGTCCGTCCAGTGCCACCTGCTGCAGACCAGCGAGGGCCCCCCTGCTCCCAGCATTTGCCATCATGGCCACTTTGCTGGCGAAAACTTCGAGTCGCTTCACTGTGAAGCTTCTCACGGCGCTGCTGGCGGCGACTCTTCTGCTGCCGTCAACAAATGCAGCGACGTACCCCAACTGTCCGCTGACCGGCAAACCACCGACAACGCCAACAGTGCCTCCCACGCGGTGTGTGGTAGCGTCGAACTTAACGTGCTGCGCCGCTTGCTCCGACATTAATTTCGCCGTTCAGGCGCTCGCCGTTAACGTAACTGCCGCCGTGGAAGCCGCTGCGGGGGGGATCATCGACGTCTCGACCGTGCCGAATAGCGTGAGTAAAACATCTCGGGACATGGGAGTCGATATATCAATGTAACGATGTGTCGTCGCCTGCATGCGTTTCGTTCAGCATTCGTTTGCACGCACCTGCTGCGCAAGCGTGTTGAGGTAAAACAAAAGAAATGACCAAGAAAAACATTTGTTTGTGTGCATATACGTATGTGTGTATGTGTGCCTTTGCACGTGCGTCTCATGCGTGCAGATCTGTCCTATCATGAAGGGTCATGAGATGTGTGAGCGGCTCGTCGAGCAACTCGCCTGCGCAGTGCAGTGCAACCCCGGTGAGATAGCCAGCACATCCAATGAAGTCCAAAAATAATGCTGCATACCTAACAAATCCCGAACGTTTTTATTACAACGCTCTGCTGCACGTGACTCTGCTGCGTCGCGCAACCACTTGCCGCTTGCCTTTCCCCTGCTTTACCGCTCCCGTTCCCCGCTTTCCTCTCCCATTTCCCGCCTTATTTTCCCCCGTCGCGGGTGCTCGTCTTTCTCTCCCTCTTTCTCGCCTACGCGTGCCAGATTCTGGCAACTACCTGACCGGCAAGCCCGGCAAGTACATGCTGCAGATCTGCACGGACCACGCCCAGGCCATCTACGACGCCTGCTCCTCGCTGGAAGGTCAGATCCCTTCCCTTGACCCTGGTGCCGTTACAATACTATCGTACCAATCGACCTTTTTTTTAAAATTTAAATTATGTATATATTTATATATCTTATTTTTCCCAAGTCTACCTATCCCGGTGTCCTTTCCGATGTGCTTTCTCCTTTCTTGGTGCGGATTGCCGTGGCGCGCGCGTGCGTGTGCAGTGGCGGGGTTCGTAGTGAGCGACGCGTTTGTGACGCCTGAGGACATCATCCAACAGCTGCTCGTGCCGCTCGTCGCGCAGCAGATCCCCGGCTTCAACGCCACCGTCACCGTAAGTCCGTGTGTCATGAGACGTCGCCGGCGAGACGACGCCCTGTGTGATACGATCGCTGGTCGAGCCGTAGTGTCAACGATTCCGCCACGTCAGCGCTTTCACATCTGAGCACTGGCACCGCGCGCGCGTTTTCCTTTCGCCCTTGCCACGCTCGTGCTGCGGCGATTCGTCATGCGCTTCGGCTCGCTGCTGCTGCTTGAACTTGCCATGCCCACCTCCCTCCACCCACCACCCACCACCATGTGCAGGACACGGCGTGCTACTCGGGTCCCACAGTGATCCCAGTCACCCCGCTCTGCTGCGACCCGCTCAACATCCCCGCGACCTGCCCGCCCGGCGCGGTCAACATGACGGCAGCAAAGAATGTGTCGGGACGCCCCATCGACCCGGCCATCTGCGCTGACTTCCCCTACTCCAACGCCACCATGCCCTTCCCCCCCAATGCCAGTCCCCCAACCCCCTCCGCCCCTGCTCCTTCGCCCTCCGCCCCTGCTCCTTCACCCCCCGCTCCTGCGCCAGCCCCCACCACCGCTGCTCCTCCCCCAAGCACCCCTTCCCCCTCTCCCCCCTCTGCATCTCCTCCTCCGCCTGTCCCCAGCCCCTCTCCTCCCCCCCCCAAGGCCGCTGGGGCTGGCGGAGCCTCTCTGGCTGCGGCGGTTCTGCCGCTGCTGGCGGTTGTGTTGATGGTGGGGGTATAAGTTTCAGGCGTGCGGACCGTGGGGCATGCTCACGGGTCTGAGCTTTGGTCCAGTAGCCACAAGCAAATGCCTTTTTTGAGTCTGATGACCCACTGTGGCTTGCATCGTATTGCGTTGAGGAACTTTGTTTGAGGTTTGCTTTGAGACTCGTGGTTGCCATTCTTGGAAATCCAACTACCGTACCGTATGAGCATGCCATGGAGTGAGAATGCAAGACTAGTGAAGCATGACAGAATTACATTAGAGTACACAAATCCTTTTTCGGTTACTGCCCCTTTCGTCGCCGTTGCAGTGGCCACAAGTGGTGTCCCCTTTAGGGAGGCACACTCTGTGATAGGCTGATTTTGTCACCAACCAATCAATTGTTGCCTTCCCTATCCCATCCAGCGTGGTTAGGCGTGCGCCTCCCGCACGGACGTTACCAATCCCTTGAAAGCCGCTCCACCGTGTGGAACCGTCCTGAGCCGCGAATCATAAGCTGGAAATGGGTAGCATGAGATGTTCAGGCTGGTTAGTAACGGTTTAAATCGGTGAAACTGGAAACCAATCTGGAGTTTACATTTGTGTTAGCGGCGCAAATTGTTTTTGTTCTGTTCGCACTGGGACTCAACTTGGGCCCTAACTCAAACCGAGCTTGTACCGCGTCCTCAGCTCATTCGCTACCTGCCGGCGAGCCTTTTTCTCAGCCCAGAGGCCGCACTCGCATCCCCATTCTTCCCACGCCAACCATGATGGCAGCACCGCGACCACGTGCGTCACCGCGCTGCTTGTGCGAGTCGCGCCCATGGCCACGCGCGCAATCAGCAGTTGTCTCCGAGTCGCTATTAGCGATACTTCCATCCCGCCAGTCCGCCAACCCCGCACACCACCGACCCCGTCCCCATCGCTTCCCCCAGGCTCTCCGTTGCGCCGCTTCGCACACGGGCTGAGTTTTGCCGCGCATCCGCAGTCGTAGACCACGGAGGCGGCGGGTCGAGGCGTAGCGGACGGGCGCGCGCGCGGGGAGGAACTGGGGGGAGAGGGGGGGCTGCGCGGGGTTCTGCGCGGGGCTGTCGGTGTTGCCGCAACTGGCGCCGGGGCACCGATTCCCGATGGGCGTGTTCGAGGCGATTCACGCCATGCTGCTGCACGAGGGGGTGGTGCGACCCGCGCAGGCGAGTTCCGCGCGCAGTGGAGGGTCGCGGAGGGGGAAGGGAGACGGCGGAAAATCCGGGGGAGAGAAGGGGAAAGGAGCGGGTTCGCGGGAAAAAAAGGATGAATGAGGTCAATGATAAGGTGCGAGTGGATTGACGGGAGGGGCATCTATGTTTGGGAGGAAGGGTGGGAGGTGGTGGTGTCGTTTGATAAGCCGTAGTGGGCAGGGAGGGACTGTGAGAGGGAGGGGTGTTTGGAAGATCCTGTAATGCACTGCTCAATGCTAATCTCCCAGCTCTTTCGCCCTCCCACCTGCATAAGTGTCCCCCCATCTTGCCCTTATTTCCCTACTCCGCGTTACCCTCCATGTTTATCCCCCTGTGCTCCCTCTATCATCGCTCTCTCTCGCGCTCCTCGGCCGTCCCAGTGAGGTGGTCACGTCCCACCCAGCACGCTGCTCCTTGTCGGACGTGCTTCGAGTAGGTGCACTGTGCGCAGTACCTAGCACAGTTCTGCCAGGGCGCGCTCCCCTCTGCTGCCATGCGCCGCATTGGCTCCCCCTGGTCGCCCATCCTCGTTAGAAGAACACTCGCCGAGGTGTGCTGGGGTAGGGGGCAGGGGAGTGGGCTGGGCGGGCGGGCGGCACAGGAGGTGCTGGGATGCGTGCGGAGCGATGGGAGGGATGGGATCGGGATGCGCGCGGGTGACAGTTGTGTTGGTTTTGGATGGAGGAGCAGGCGGGCGACGTGTCATTCGAGTCATTCTCAGCTACCAGTCCCCAAAACATGCCTTAACCTACTCCTGATGCCCACTTTTATTCTAACTCCCACCCCAACCCGCCTGTCCACCAGGCACTCACCATGCGTTTTGAGCCCACGGGTCGGGCTACTGCATTCTGAACGACCTGCTGTCACAGCCGCTGCCCTCACTGCCTCAACCGTGCTCCCCTCGCCACCCACCCTGCCACTGCCACTGCCACCACCACTAGCAGCAACACTGTCACCAACCCAAGCATCATCACTGCAATAACCTAGACGTGCACCAGGATATTCCCCCCGACCCCCCTCCTGCTCGCTTCCTTTCATTCACCCCTCCTGCTCACTCCCTTTCATTCACCCCTCCTGCTCACTTTCTTTCATTCACCCCTCCTGCTCACTCCCTTTCATTCACCCCTCCTGCTCACTCCCTTTCATTCACCCCTCCTGCTCGCTCCCTTTCATTCACCCCTCCTGCTCGCTCCCTTTCATTCACCCCTCCTGCTCACTCCCTTTCATTCACCCCTCCTGCTCGCTCTCCCTTTCACTCACCCTTCCTGCTCGCTCCCTTCGCTCATCCCTCCTTCTCCCTCGCTTTCGCTCACCCATCCTGCTCGCTTCCCCTCTCTAGTCCTAATCGCCCACCTCAACCATCCTGCTTCCCCCCCGTGACCCTCTCTGCGCACCTGCTCCCTCCAGTGACTAAGTGCGGCCCTGCACTGCTCTCACCTCACTCACCTCGCCCGTCATGAGCAGCACATACGTGCAACCCGGCAAAATTCAGCCTGATCCGCGGTCCCTCCCTCATGTCGACTCACCATCTGCTTTCCTGTTCAAGCTGCAGTGTGGTAGTAGTTTCTATTTGCCGCCTGCTGGCTAGCTGACCTGCGCTGAGGGTGGTCCGGCTCCCAGCCCTCGCCATGCCCATGGCCACTCTCACGCTGGCCAGGAAGACTTCGAGTCGCGGCGGCTTCATCGCGAAGCTTCTCACGGCGCTGCTGGCGGCGGCGACTCGTCTGCTGGCGGTGCGGCAACCAATGCAGCAGCGACGCCATGGTACCCCAACTGCCCGCTCACGGGGCCACCAAGCCTCCCACGAAGCCAGCAGTGCCCCCCACGCGGTGCGTGGGAGCGTCGAACATGTCCTGCTGCACCGCCGCCGCCGCCGCGTGCGCCGACTTTGACTTGGCCGTTCAGGCGCTCGCCGTTAACGTAACCGCGGCGCTGCAGGTCGCCAGCGTCTCCACCGTGCCGCCTAGCGTGAGTGGTCGCGGGATGAGGGAATCTATACAACCATAAACCCTAATTAGGGACGTAGACAGCGTTCGTTTACACACCTGCTCGGCAGAAGGATCTAAGCACTCTTGTTTTTGTGTGTACATGTGTGTGCGGGTGTGTTTGCTCACGAGAGTCGCGTGCGTGCAGATCTGTCGCTTCATGAAGGGTCATGAGATGTGCGAGCAAGTCGTCGAGCAACTCGCCTGCGCAGTGCAGTGCAATCCTGGTGAGCCAGCCAGCATACCAAACCAACTCGAACAAAAACAGTGCCTTTCAACGCTTTGCTGCACTTAACTCACCATTGCGCCACTCAACCGCTTGCCGCTTGCTTTCCCCCCGCCTTACCGCGCCCATTCCCTTCCTTTCCTCTCCCTCTCCGCCGTACTTCCCCCCGTCGCGGGCCCCGTTTCTGCTTCCTCGTTCTCGCCAGGTGTGTGTGGCAGACTCGGGCAGCTACGTCACGGGCAAGCCCGGCAAATACATGCTGCGCATCTGCAGCATCTACAGCGCCTGCTACTCCATCTACACGCAGACCATCTACAGCGCCTGCTACTCCATACAATGCTGGCAAGTACACGCAGACCATCTACAGCGCCTGCTACTCCATACAATGTCAGATCCGTGTTCCCGGGTTATGATGATTTCGCTACAAGGTTACGGGCATTTCGCTTCCATCGCGCTTTTCGACTTCCCCTCCCAGAATCTTACCATTCTTGACATCTTCCGATTTCCATTCTCTTGTTGCGTGGTTGCGCTTTGCTGTGGTGCTTGGCCTGTGCAGTGGGGGACTCCGTGGTGAGCGACTGGTTTTACACGCCCGAGGACATCGTGCTCGTCCACCACCTGCTCGTGCCGCTCGTTGCACAGCGCATCCCCGGCTTCAACGCCACCGTCACCGTGAGACCATCCATTTGGGTCGTCGAGCCATAGTCAGAGCGCTCCAGGGTAGTCAGAGCGCTCCAGGGTAGTCAGAGCGCTCCAGGGTAGTCAACGCGGGTCGCTCACTTTCACATCACAGCTGCTTGCACACGTGCTTCTCGCCAGCTTCTTCTGTGCGCCGCTGCTCACTGCTGCTGCTTGAACTTTCCATGCCCACCACCCACCACCCACCACCCACCACCCACCACCCACCACCCACCACCCACCACCCACCACCCACCACCCACCACCCCCACCCACCACCACCACCCACCCACCACCACCCACCCCCACCACCCACCTCCCACCTCCCACCACCCCCACCCACCTCCCACCTCCCACCACCCACCACCCACCTCCCACCTCCCACCACCCACCACCCACCTCCCACCTCCCACCACCACCCACCTCCCACCTCCCACCACCCACCACCCACCTCCCACCTCCCACCACCCTCGTGCAGAACACCAAGTGCTACTCGGGTCCCCCAGTGATCCCGGTCCTCCCACTGCCCTGCGACCCGCTCACCATCCCCGCCACCTGTCCGCCCGGTGCGGTCAACATGACGGCCGCCAAGGGCGTGTCAAGCCGCCCCCTCGACCCGCCCATCTGCGCCCACTTCCCCTACTCCAACGCCACCCGGCCCTTCCCTGAGTCTTTTGACGTCTTCACTCCTTACCCCTACACTCCTACTCCTTTGCCCCCCGCTCCTGCTCCTGTTCCCGTGCCCGCCTCTCCCGCCCCTGCCCTTTCTCCGCCTACCTCCTCCCTGCCAGCGCCCATTACCGGTGCTCCTCCCCCAACCGTCGTGTCTCTGTCCCCCCCATCTGTGTCTCCTCCTCCCGCTGGCCCTAGCCCCTCTCCTCCTCCCGCTGGCCCCTCTCCTAGCCCCTCTCCTCCTCCCCCCAAGGCTGCTGGGGCCGCTGGAGCGTCTTTGGTTGCCGCGGTTCTGCCGCTGCTGATGGTTGTGCTCATGGCAGGGGTGTGAGTTTCAGGCGTGCAGGCTGGGGCAAGCCAATGGTCCGATTTTGGCCAATTCGCCAAAACTGATGCCTTCTATGAATCTTACTGTACCAACAAATACCTTCGATTAGAGGTTGTTCATTGTGTTGGATTGCGTTGCTAATGACGTTGAAGGCTTGTACTTGTGAATCTTTCACTGTATATGGTATCCCTATAAAGTCACGCTGTTGATTGAAGATGCAAGTTCTTAATTAGGTGAACGGGGTTCCGTTGCAGTGCATGCATAAATGTTCATGTTCAGGTTCAGGGAGTCTCAAAGCAATGAAAGCTAGAAATGCATTGTGGTATGGTAGTGGTTGTAATGTAATTTTTTTTCCACGGGCTGATCCCAACAAACTTGTACTCGTATCTGTACCGCGTATCCACGATGTTCACTTGCCTCCACCAAACTTGTCTGGTACCCACCATGTTGGGGCGATCTCTCAGCCCGAGCACGCATCTACTTTCCTCCCCACTCTTCCCACGCCAACCATGCTGGCAGCACCACGACTCTCGCAATACCAGCCCGTCGCCGCGCTGCTCGTGCGCGTCGCGCCCATGGCCACGCGCGCAATCAGCCACGGGCTCCTATTCGCTACTTCCATCCCGCCAGTCCGCCAAGCCCGCGCGCCACCGACCCCGTCCCCTTGGCGTCCCCCAGGCCCTCCGCTGCGCCGCTCCGCTCCTGCGCGGAGTTTTTCTGCGCGTCCGCAGTCGTCGATCATGGATCCGGCGGGTCGAGGCGGAGCGGACGGGCGCGCGCTCGGGGGGGGCTGCGCGGGGCTGCCGGTGGTGCACCACGCGCTGTTCAGCGCGCCGCAACTGGCGCCGGGGCACCGGTTTCCGATGGGCGTGTTCGAGGCGATTCACGCCATGCTGCTGCGGGAAGGGGTGGTGCGCCCCGCGCAGGCGAGTTCCGCGCGCAGTGGAGGGGTGGCGGCGGAGGGGGAAGTGAAGGTTGGGGGGGGGAGGAATGGGGGTACTCGTGGGGGGGAACGGTTGCGGAAGAACTTGAATGGGGGCGGTAGGAAGGTGCGAGTCGACTCACGGGAAGAGCATTGATGTGGGAAGAATGGGAGAGAGATAGTGTTGTTTTTTTGGGTAAGCTGTAAGCGGCAGGGAGTCAGGGAGTGAGATGCGGACGGGTGCGTGGAATTACCTGCAATGCACTGATATCCGGTGCTCATCTCTCAGCTCAGCTCCTTCGCATCCCCCCATGTTCAGCAATGCACTGCTTTCTTACCCAACCCATGTCTCTTCTCGCCCCACCTTCCCATGCCATCGCTCTCATCCGCCCTCCTCCGCCCTCTCTCCTCCGCCCTCTCTCTCCCGCTCTCTCCCAGGTGGTCACCCCCAACCCAATGCCGCTCCTTTCCGACCTGCTTCGAGTAGGTCCGTCCTCTCCCTTCCTCCCCCCCATCCTTCCCCATCCTTCCCCATCCTTCCCCATCCTTCCCCATCCTTCCCCTCCCTCACTTCCCTCCCCCCCATCCTTCCCCTCCCCCCTCTCCCTCCCCTCCGTCCCCTCCGTCCCCTCCCTCCCCTCCGTCCCCTCCGTCCCCTCCCTCCCCTCCGTCCCTTCCGTCCCTTCCAACTCTCACTTCCTCGCTCCTGATCCCTCCACCCGTTCGTCCATTTCTTTCTGCCGTGCCCTTCCTTGCCTGCGTGCCCTTCCTTGCCTGCGTGCCCTTCCTTGCCTGCGTGGGCTGCTCTCGTTCTCCCTCCCCACCTCCCCCCTGCTATGATGCACTGAACCAACCGCCACCTCGCCCTGCAAGCTCCCTGCGCCACGCGTTTTCCCCACACGCACGCCACACGCACGCCACACTCACGGCTCCAACACACCTCACTTTCCTGCTACCGTGCTCTCCGCACGCAAAAACAGCACGGCATCTCTACTCTCTCTCTCAAACCCCCTGTCGACTCCACCCCTGTCCACCCACCCTCTTCTCAACCCCCCCTCCCCTTTTCCCCCTCGCCCCCTCCTTTCCCCCCAGGTGCACTGTGCGCAGTACCTAGCACAGTTCTGCCAGGGCGCGCTCCCCTCTGCTGCCATGCGCCGCATTGGCTTCCCCTGGTCGCCCACCCTCGTTAGAAGAACACTTGCCGAGGTGCGCTGGGGTAGGGGGCATGGGAGGTGCTGGTATGGGTGTGAGTGAGGAGCCGCAAGGGCGACAGGGCGTTGGAGGGCGCTCCTGCGTGAAGCAGGTGTGTGCAGAGTCTCACCTCCTCATGCTCCGTTGCTCTTTCTTTCCCCTCCCGTCTCCCCACGTCCCTCGTCCCGCCTTTTCTCCTCCCCAACTTTGTCCTCCCTCGCTCCCTCCTCCCACCTTTCTCCTCCCCGTCCCCAACTCTCCTGCCTCCCTCCCCTCTCTCCCCACTCTCTCCTCCTTCCCGCCCTACTCCCAGGTGGCAGGCACGTTGGAGACGGCACAGCTGGCACTGGAGTATGGCCTTGCATGCAGCACAGCAGGAGGTATGCTGCTCTTGTTGGGGGGTGGAAGGGGAAGAGGAGTGGGGTGGTAAGTAAGGATGCTTGGAATACAGTGGACTGAATGTGGCTGATTTGGAGAAGAAAGGATGGGCACGTGTGCGGGCCGTTGAAAGGGATGCAGATGTGAGCGGGCAGGTGGCGGATGTGCTGCTTTTGGATGGGTGAGATTTGAGTCCAGAGGAAAAAGGGAGGGTTAGAAGGAATGGGCTGGAAGGCATGGGTGAAGGGTGAGGGTGTAAATGAGCGGTCCTGCAAAACGGTAAAAGTAAGGTCCTACCGAGAATTGAACTCGGCCTTTCAGATTCAGAGTCTGACGTCATAACCACTAGACCATAGGACCACGAAAGTTTCCCAACACAGCTCTCATTCAGTGTACTTGCCTGTGTGTGTGTGCGCATGTGTTGATGTACGTGCGCCTGTACAGGTGTGGGTGCAAGCACCCAAGCATGTGCATGTGCATGAGAAGACAACACTCTCTCAGATGCACACACCGTCCCTCTACCTGCCGTGCCAATGGATACGGCATGGGCGTAGCCTAGGTTTTTTTTACCCACGACTTTGATGCCCAACCTAACCCTTCCATTCACCAGGCACGCACCATGCGTTTCGGGGCCATGGATCAGGCTACTGCATTCTGAACGACCTTGCTGTCACAGCCGCTGCCCTCACTGCCTCAACTGCACTCCCCACGCCACCCACTTTGCCACCAAGCCCGCCGCCACTAGTAGCAGCAGCAGCAACGCCGCCAACACAAGAAGCAACAAAGCAGTCACAATCGCAATCCCAATCACTGCCGCTGGTGTTACCCGCATCGCCATCAGCAGCAAGCGCAGCTTGTGAGGGCGAGGAGGAGCAGGAGGACGTGTGGCGAGAGCTGCTGGAGGGAGCAGAGGGTGAGGAGGAGGGCGAGAGGGCAGCGATGAAGAGAGTGCAGCGTGTGGCGATAGTCGACCTGGACGTGCACCAGGTGATGCCCCCCCCGCCCGCCCCCTTGCCCATCCCCCGGGATGGAAAGAGCCCATCCTGCTCTTTCCACCAGCCCCAGCCCCGTCCAGTCTCCATTTTCCAACTTCCCCTCTCCCCTTGCAGCTCCTAACTTTCAACTCTTTCCCTCCCTCTCCCTCTCTCTTCCCCTCCCTCTCCTCATCTCTTACCCTCCCTCTCCCCCTCTCTTCCCCTCCCTCTCCCTCTTTCTTCTCCTCCCTTGCACACCCTTCCTCTGGAAATTGTCCTGCTCCTTTCCGTCCCCGGTCAAAACCCCTTCTTCTCACAGGGCGATGGCACAGCAGCCATACTGTCGACATGCCCCAGCGTGTTCACCTTCAGCATGCACTGTGGCGCCAACTTCCCTGCCGTCAAGCAGGTGACTCCCTCCCAGCTGTCTGCCGCTGCCGCACACTGCTTCTCCTCTTCCTCCCCCTTCCTTCCGTCCGCCTTTGTTGAACCGAGAAGGTCTGGACAGTGATGCAGAGCAGTCCGACCAGGAGACGGCTCAGTTGGTTAACGGAGTACTGAAAGGGGGGAATGGTTGATCTATCGGGCTGACTTCTGAGTCGACTCAAAAGGAGTACTGAAAGGGCGCAATGGCTGATCAATTGGCAATTGCCGGGATGCTTTTGAGGAGATCTTTAAGTAGGTTGAGAGTGATTGGTGATCGTTCATACTGTCCTCTTATCACCGTTCATACTGTCCTCTTATCACCGTTCATACTGTCCTCTTATCACCGTTCATACTGTCCTCTCGCTTGTGCATGGTACCTTTCGTTACCATGTATTCTGTCTTGTAAGTTACCGGGGCGCTGACAGCACGTGCCAACAAGGGCTATGCTTGTGTCACTTCCTTCCCACACACCCGTTTGTTGACACACTCACATTTCGACACCCCCTTGCGGAGTGTCTCTCCCACGTCATGCCATCAGAGCAGCGACCTGGATGTGGACGTACCAGAGGGCGCTGGGGACGCTCAGTACCTTGCCCTGCTCGCTGACCACCTCCCTTCGGTGCATCTGCTCCTTCTCCTTTGCTCCTATGCTCCTCTGCTCCTATGCTCCTATGCTCCTATGCTCCTATGCTCCCCTGCTCCTATGCTCCTATGCTTCTCTGCTCCTCTGCTCCTATGCTCCCCTGCTCCTATGCTCCTATGCTTCTCTGCTCATCTGCACAGTTCTATGTACCTGTGTTGTGTGTGAGCATGCGCATGTGCTGATAAATTGGCTTTCGCTGTTTTCCAACTACACCCCCCACACGTGCATTCACATTCCTACTCACCCGCATTCCCGCTCACCCGCATTCCCGTACCTGCATCTCTCCATCTCCAGGTACTCGCATCATTCCGCCCTGACCTCGTGCTATACGACGCTGGAGTTGACCCTCACGAGGGTGATGCTCTCGGCAAGTATGTGACCAGGTTCCTTCAGGTTTGCAGTGCGGCTATGCCATTACGACTTTAATCTGGGTGCTGACCTCGTGCTGTACAATGCTGGAGTTGACCCTCACACACAAGGACGATGCTCTCGGCAAGTATGCTCTCTCGCCCCCCTGCCTCCTCCCCTGTCTCTCGCCCCCCCACCCTCCTCCCCTGTCTCTCTCCCTTCATACACATACGTATGTCTATTTGTGCAGTTGCATGTATCTCTCTCTTTGCCTGCTAACCTGTCTCTTCCCAGTCGTCATCTCCGCGTCTCGCACTTCCCCCACGCATGTTCCCTCACTCGGTGCTCTGGTTCCATCATCTTGTTCTCTCTTTCCACCTCTCTCTTTCGACGCATGCCCTTGCCCCTTCCCACACCCCATGGTGCGCAGGCTCTGCCTCACTGATCAGGGCCTGTTTCGCAGAGACATGCAGGTGATGCTTGCTTCTCTCCACAGCCCTATTCTTTTGACATGTCTCAATACGAGAGACCTCTGTTCAGCCTCCTCCTCTGCACATGTCCTGATTCGCATGCCCTAACACATACTCATCCTTTACAAAACCCCAGCCACCCCATTCTCTCCAACTTGGCAACGACTTTCAGCCACGCACCATCCATGCGTCCCATTTCCTCTCTTTTTACTTTGCCCTCCATTCCTCTCTCTTCCTTCCCCTCATCCCACTGCCTTAACTGCCTTGCTCCGTTCCCACTTCGCCCCAGTGGCCTCACACCCCATTTTCTGTGTTATTCCATTCCGTGGCATGCATGTGCATGTGCATGTGCCTGTGCATGTGCATGTGCATGTGCATGTGCATGTGCATGTGCCTGTGCATGTGCATGTGCATGTGCATGTGCATGTGCCTGTGCATGTGCATGTGCATGTGCATGTGCATTGCATGTGCATGTGCATGTGCATGTGCAAGTGCATGTGCATGTGCATGTGCTGTGCATGTGATGTGCATGTGCTGATGTGCATGTACGTGTGATGTGCATGGTGCATGGTGCATGGTGTATGCCCTCTCACATGCACGGCATGCCCACCACCAGGTGATCGACACGTGTGTGGGCATGGGGATCCCAGTGGCAGCATACGTGGGGGGCGGGTACCACAGAGATATTCAGGTCAGCATAAGTCACACGTGCGCGCAGGGCGAGCAGCATGGGGTGGGGAGAGCAGCCTGGGCGTAAGGGTGAGGAAGAGCAGAGAAAGGAATTCAGCCCATCCATATGCACCGCCATGCATGGGTGCACCGCCATGCGTTGATCATGTTGGAGCAGGATTGTACCATACCATCCACCTGCCTATGAGCTTCTGGCCTCTCCCTCTCACCTCTGCTACACCCAGCTGCGCCAGGGGAACACCACCTGCTGTTGCTCATGCGAGAACACATTATTGATCTGAAGACCAGGTGGAAATATCTCCCTAAGGTGCTATCTGATCAATGGTGCCTCCTCATATCTCACGGATCATAGAACCTGGCGGGTTTATATTTCCAATACCCTGAATGGCCACGTAATCGCCTGACCACCTCTCACGGAGTACAAGTGGTATCTGCCTGGCCCAGTTGTGTCTGGCCTGCCAAGCATGCCCCTGGTTCCCGTCTGCCAGAGCGGTCTGCTCTGCTGTCAATGCACCGTGACACAGGCTGGACGCCAAGGACAGCACAGCACTGCACAGCACTGCACAGCACAGCACAGCACAGCACAGCACAGCACCGCACCGCACAGCACCGCACAGCACAGCACAGCACAGCACAGCATCGCGCCGCCCCGCCGCACCGCACCGCACCGCTCCTCACCTCACCGCACCGGACCGCACAGCACCGCACAGCACAGCACCGCACAGCACCGCACAGCACAGCACAGCACCGCACCGCACCGCACAGCACAGCACAGCACAGCACAGCACAGCAAGCACAGCACAGCACAGCACAGCACATTCACACGATATCTTACTGCAAGTCGCCTGCCCTCAACCAGCCCCCAACCCCCAGCCCCCAGCCCACAGCCCGCAGTGGGCAGCTTCTGCTTGGTGCCCGCACTTGCACTCATGCTCCTTCACCTCCTGGACCTCTCCTTCACCTCCTGGACCTCTCCTTCACCTCCTGGACCTCTCCTTCACCTCCTGGACCTCTCCTTCACCTCCTGGACCTCTCCTTCACCTCCTGGACCTCTCCTTCACCTCCTGGACCTCTCCTTCACCTCCTGGACCTCTCCTTCACCTCCTGGACCTCTCCTTCACCTCCTGGACCTCTCCTTCACCTCCTGGACCTCTCCTTCACCTCCTGGACCTCTCCTTCACCTCCTGGACCTCTCCTTCACCTCCTGGACCTCTCCTTCACCCCGTTTGGACTTCCCAGTGTTTGCAGCCTCCCCAATGGCTGACACTTTTGTGCGCTTCTTGTCACCGAATGTTCTGTGTGCCGTAACACATCGTGTCATGCATTTGCATGCTGCACATCCTGCCATGACGCGTGCACCCACCCGTCCATCCCTCCCTTGCTCACTCTACAGGTGCTGTCCCATCGGCACTGCCTCCTGCACCGAGCAGCAGCACAGGCATGGCGAGACCATGGGTTGTAGCGGCCAGGCGTGTTATGTCTTCCTGGACCTAGTATCTGGTGGGCTGGCATGGACATGACCACAGTACCCTAGCCTGGCCCGCTGGGTAGAAAAAGCTCGCTCGGTGTAATTCACAAGGGGTAGGCGAACAGTGCACGGAGTTACATCGGGTTCAGGGTGAGGTTGGTGGCTAGAGGAATGCTGGGAGTTGGGCTAGTGGGATGGGCTGAACGGAGCAAGGGGAAGGGAGAGTATGAGGATGGGGAAAGTGTGGATGGAGAGGGTGACAAGGGGGGCAACGAGGGGACTTGGGTTGGGGGTACCCTGCGAGATTATTACGGTATGAAAGTACCGGTATCAAATGAGGATTTTTGCCATGCAGCGTCTCTAGTAATCCAGGAGTAGAACAAATGTTCGAAGGGTAAGGAAATACAGCAATAGTGGTGGAGAGGGTAGAACAGGTAAATCAAGTAACAAGATCATTATGGCTGGAAGAAATTCCATAAGCCCGACAATAGAAGCAGTTTTTCTAACGGAACAGCTCATATGACATCCTGTAATAAGGCCAAAGCCCCAATGCCAGTCAACTAGCAGGCCCGCTTCCTAAGTACAACTTACCTACTACCACCCACTAATTCCGTCATCCACTGACTAGCGCTCCTCCGTCTCTCCACCCGCCCACCTTTGCAATCCTCTCGCGCCATTTTCCCGCTCTCCCGCGTTCTGCCGCTCACTCATCACAGCATGGCTATATCATACGGTAGATGGGGGCGATTCTCTAGTCGACTCAGAAATCGCTTCAGCCGCTCACGAGTCACATGGCCATATCAGGGATACACATGGGAAGCGGCGCGTCGCACAGCTGCCAGTTGTCCGGCCTGAAGCTCGCTACGGGAAACGTGCTCAGCAAGAAAGGTATTTGCCCGGACAGCCGATTCCCGCCCAGCGCGACCGACTTCAACGCCAAGTGGGTGCCGAGATCCGTCGGAATCTCCCCTTCGAGGAGATTATACGACAGGTCGAGCTCCCGCAGCGCGCGCCGCGCGCCGAAGCCGTCGGGAATGGAGCCCGCGAACGCGTTGCGGCTGAGGTTGAGGCGGTGGAGGAAGAGCAGATTCGCGAGCGCGCCGGGGATGGCACCGGAGAGCTTGTTGCGCGAGAGATCGAGGTCCGTGAGCTCGGCGTGGCAGGTGTCCATGGCCCCTGGCAGCGCGCCCTCCAGCGCATTGTTCGAGAGATTCAGCACCGCGGGGCAGTTGGAGAACACGGGGAGCGCGCCTGGCAGGGATGGCGGAATAGGGGGAGAGGGAGGGGCAGGGGGAGGGGGAGGGGGGGGGGGAGTGGGCGAGGGGGGAGGGCAAGGGAGGGAGGTTTTTGAGGAAAGGCTGGTGACAATCTGAATACAGAGAATGTTGGGCACGAAGCAGGAGGGTCATACAGCTTGTGGGCCCTCCTGGATCCTATCCTTCCCTCCGTCTTCTTTCCTGTCTTCCACTCCCTTCCCTCCTCTCCCTCGTGCCCTTCCCCCACCATCCTCCCCCGTTCATTGTCCCCCCTTCACAAACCCTCCTCATGGCGCACCTGAGAGGCCGTTGCTGCTGACGTCCAAATGATACAGCGAGCCTCCAGCAAGCAGCTCCGCAGGCAGTGCCCCGCCCAGCTGGTTCGCCCCCAGGTGCAACCGCCGCAGCCTCGTCAGCGCGCTCACCCACGTGGGCACGCCTCCAGTCAGCTGGTTCCCCGTCAGGTCAAGGCTGGTCAACGCAGTCAACGTGCTCAGCGGCTCCAAAGTGCCGCCAATCTGATTAAAGCTCAGGTCCAGGTGCTTGGCGCGCGTGCCACCCGCTGCCGCATCATCGACAAGGAAATTCACAGGCACGGTCTCTTGGATGGCGTTATGAGAGAGGATGATCCGCTCCGTGAAATTCCAGTTTCGGAAGGGGTTGAGTGCGGTGAGCAGGTTGTAGCTGAGGTCCAGAACCTTCTGCGGGGCCTTGTTTCCATCGGCAAACGCCTCCCCCACCACGCCGTCGAAGCGGTTGCTCCGACCATACAGCGCATCGCGGGCCGTCACCCCAAGCGAGCCATTAAAGCCATTGTGGTTGAGGTCCAGGTGGCGCAGAGGCAGCGCGTTCAAAGCGGTGGGCACGGTGCCCTCGAGGCTGTTCCACGCCACGTTGAGGTGCGTCAGGTTACCCAGGCTCTGCACGGTCGTTGGGAGCAGTCCTGACAGCTGGTTGTGTGACACGTCCAAGTGCATGATGCTGTGGGACAGGGAGTCTGGCGTGGGAAGGTGCCGCTGAGGGAGTTGTGGTGAAGGCGCAGTTCCTCCAGGGATTGCATCTTGAGGATACCCGCAGGGATGCCTTTGCGCAGCTGGTTGCGGCTCAGGTCCATCACCCTGAGCTGCGTCATCCCACTCAGCCCCGCGGGAATGACGTCTGTGAAGCGGTTGCCTGCCATCCTCAGCCTCACCATGCTGCGCTGCGCCGTCAGCCCCGCGGGGAGCCTGCCGGAGAAGCGGTTGAAGCTCAGATCGAGGCTCTGGAGCGATGTGATGCGGGAGAAGGATTTGGGGATGCTGCTGCTGAGGCGGTTGAAGCTCAGGTCGAGGCTCTCTAGCTTGCGCATTCTGGCCATGGACTTGGGCAGGGAGCCCCACAGGCGGTTGTGCGCGAGGTCTACATGCCGCAGCGTGCGTGAGAAGCTCTTTCGTTTCACGGGCAGCCCGCCAAAGAGGCCGGCGTTGCGCAGGCGCAGCGTGTGGAGGGCGGGGATGCGGAAGAGGTAGCGCGGCACGCGCGTGCGCAGGCGGTTGAAGCTCAGGTCCAGCGCCGTGAGGTGCTGCAGCTTGGTGAGCGTGCTGGGAATTCCCCCCCGCAGGCTGTTGCAGGAGAGGTTGAGCGCCCTCAGGCTGCCCAGCGACCCCAGCGCCCAGTGCAGCGTGCCGTCCAGCCTGGCGGGGGCGGGCGGGTCGCTGCATTGCGAGAATTCCATCCGCACCACGCGCTCCTTCTCACAGGTGATGCCCCCACGCTCGCACACGGGCGGCAGCGACCCGCCGCTCGTGTACGCGCCGGCGGCCTTGAATATCGCGTTTACTGCGGACGTGTCGTCAGCCCGCGAGGCAGGAACCAGGAAAGACAAGAGGAGGAGGAGGGGGAGAGCGGAGAAGAGCAGGCGCTTTGAAGCCATTGGGATGAGGTGGTGGTTGCACGCACTGGCAAGGTGTGAAAGAGGAGAGGAGGGTGAGTGTCTGCTTCAGATGTCGCGTTGAGAGTTGACTGATAGTGGAGAAGTCTAGTCGCATGAGAGATACGATGGGTGTTTGCGAATGAGTGTTTAGATGTTAGGAGATTTGAGGTCTTATGACGGGACAGCTTTGCCTTAGCTGCTCTCTTCGAATCCGCTGCTCCCAGAGCGCTCGCTGCTCGGCGGATGTCCAAGAAAGCAAGTTGTCGGCGCGCATAAGTGGCGCAACCATACCAACTAGAGCACATGGCTCCACATGTCTAGATTTGCTGCGGTGGATGCTTGCGGACATGGCTTTAGTGGACATGCGCTTGGCTGGACAAGCAAGAGCCCGCGTGCTGTGGAGTTTTCAACCACTGCGCGAGGAGAGTGAGAGACGCGGGCGGCATGCTTGGAGCATGATGTGACGGGACGCTTTTTTATGCTCATTTCTTGGCCTCGTTGGCCTTGCCATTAGGTTGCTGTTTGAGAGTTCTTGCCGAACAAAAAGGGGCACCCTGTGTGGAGTGGATGTTGGTCCATGTCAGCATGCCCCTCATGCTGGCAGTGCCCCTCGACGACGCTGCGAGTCTCATGCCGAGGCGAAGGGGTTCGCCAGCTAGGAGCACATGGTAGGCGAGATCGTTTCGCAGAACGTGTTCGTTCGTGGCGGTTTGTTGCGAAGAGGTGCCAGCTGGTGACATGTTACCTGGCGTCAACTTATGATCATCGTTCAACCTCCCTCCTGGCTCCGCAACCAAGCTTCGGAACGCGGCAGGGAATGCTTCGAACAAAAAGGTCCACGAAATAAGGCATTTAATCTTTATACAGTATGTATGATCATCTTCCAAAATGCAAAACGAAAGAAATGGCCCTACACTAGAAGCACCTCCCTTCTCCTGCCCTGGAGTGGACGACAAGCACGTTGACGATGATGGTGCGAGCGGTTACTCTGTTGACGAACACATCCGTGCTGTAATCTTTGTGCTTCATCTGTTCATTGCTTCCACGTCGTGCTGAATTCTTGGTGTGCGCCTCGATGTCCAGCTTGTGCAATTCCCGCAAAACCAATTTCCCTCTGAGGGGGGAATTTATACTATTTCAGCTTCACCCCGTAACTCAGATCCCAGCAAATTTCGTCCGTCATTCACACACACATTGCTGCTTATCATGCCGAATGCAACCATCCGCTCACTTTTCCAATCATAATTAAGTCTCTGTTGGTCCCCGCTTTGACTAGGTCGTCGAAAGACCAGCCAAAACCAACACGTCCAACCCAACGATTGCCCAGCGATCGCCTCACCAGCCACAATCACCCCTGGCCATCATCGCTCGAGACACCCTCACGCGGCAGCCAGCATAAGAGCTACTCAGAGTCGAAACATGATTGCGTCAACGGCACCCCGACTCCGTCCGCTGCTAGCAGCGGCATTCGTGACATTAATTGTCTCTGCCCGCGTGCTCTCCGCGTTCAGGCTGGAATATGACGGGATGGTTCTCCTGGACCTCAAGGACGCGGTGGGCGCAACTTTCCTCACCTCGTGGGACCCCGCAACGTCCGTATGCGGCGGCACGTGGAGAGGCGTCTTCTGCGGCGACGACGGCGCCACCGTTGCGTCGCTCAGGATATCGCCGTGCGCTGAATGGCCGCCGACGCCCAAGATCGAGGCCTCCTTGGAGACCGCCATCTCGCGGATTCAGAAGCTCGGAAATCTCGTCTCTCTCGACCTGTCGTGCAACAGCTTTACTGGGGGGATTTCCACGACGCTCACTACCCTACCAAAGCTCAAGATACTGCGCCTCGGCAGCAACAACCAATTGGGGGGAGTCATTCCCAAGAATCTCCTCGCCATGTCCTCGCTCGAGTACCTGGACGTCTCCAACACGAACCTCGAAGGCAACTTGCCACCCGAGAACGAGGCGTACGCATCGCCGCTCTCGTACCTCGACCTATCATACAACCATCTTGCGCTCGACCTTCCGATGGCGATGAGCGCGCTGTCAAACCTCCGCCACCTCAACCTGCGCGCGAATGGTTTCAACCACTCCGACACGCCAACCGCGCTTTTGTACATGAGCCTCCTCACCTTCCTCGACCTTTCCTACAATCGTTTCGCCTTCGAACTGCCGTCGGGGTTCGGGTTCAACGTGTCCAGCCTCCGGCACCTGGCGGCCGGCAACAACCAGCTAGCCGGCAGCGTTCCGGAGTCCTTAACGCAGCTGACAGCGCTCACGCTCCTCGACCTCGGCTACAACGCCCTCTCCGGCTCCCTCCCGTCCGCGCTTCTGAGTCCCCCGCGTCTCGACAAAGCGAACCTGGGGCACAACTCCCTGGCGGGGAGTTTCCCCGCTGGCACGGCCTCGAGCAGGCTGGCCTTCCTCGACATTTCCGCGAACGAACTTCGCGGCGCGTTGCCGAAGCACCTAGCCAGCAGCAAGTACCTAGGGATCCTAGACCTGAGCCACAACCGGTTCACCGGTGCCATTCCCCCCGAGTGGAGCGCGCTCGTCAATCTCGGAATCGTCAACCTGGGGTATAACGACCTCACCGGGCGCATTCCTGCGTTCCAGGCGCTCACCAGCCTCTATAGCTTCTACGCGCCGCACAACCGCCTGTCCGGATCGTCGGCCGGCGCGTTCGCGGCGCGCGGCGACAGGACGCTGCAATTCTTCCTGGACCTGAGCTACAACCACGTGAGCGGCGACCTGCGACAGCTGGCGTCGCTCTTCAACTTCATGATTGTCAACCTGTCGCACAACGACCTGCGCGGCTCCATTCCGGCGCGCATGTTCCAAAACGTGCCCATGTACATGCTGGACATGAGCTATAACAACCTGAAAGGCGGCTTGAACGAATTCATGGCGCTCACCGACCTCGTCAGCTTGAACCTCGCCAAGAACCGTCTTTCCGGGTCGATTCCCAGCCAGATTAGCGACCTCTCGCGGCTGCAGCAGCTCGTGCTGGCGCGCAACGCGCTGTCCGGGAGCGTGCCCGAGCCCGTGACGGCTAGCAAGGGGCTGGTGAAGCTGGACCTGAGCAGCAACAGGCTGTCGGGTGAGTGCGTGACATGCATGGCACCAGCAGGTGCTGGTCCGACCAGGAAATGCAGCAGGTGCAGTGAGTCACTGCAGGGTCCCTGTTCGGGTCACTCCGTTCCGTGAGTGCCTTGGCCCTATTCAGATCCATTTTCCTCATTGCCATTCAGTCAATACGCATTCCTAAGCCCCCCGTTTCCCTCCCCATACATTCGTCCATTCCCCTCTCTTCCTCCAACCGCCAGGCAAGTTCCCTCCGATCAGCAAGTGTCCCGAGGAGCTGGTTTTGGCGAGCAACGGATTCACCGACGAGCTTCCCAGCATGGACTCGTGCGCGGGCGTGGCGGAGCGCATCGACCTCTCCTACAACCAGCTGTCGGGCGCCATCCCCACCGTTCTCTCGCAATTTTCCGTCCTCACGCACCTGTCGCTCTCGCACAACGCCCTCAACGACACCATTCCCGAGGGAATCGCGAATCTGCGGAGCCTGCGCATGCTGGACCTTTCCTGGAACCTGCTTGAAGGATCTATTCCCACCGCGCTTGGGCTGTCCGAGGCGCTACAAGAGGTGTATCTTGCAGGGAACCAGCTCGAGGGGGCCATTCCTGACGCCATGGTCAATTACCCTGAGTCTTCGTTCCTCCCCGAGAATTACTTGCTGTGCGGCGAACCTGTAAAGCAGTGCCTTGAGGACTTTGTGGTATTCTAGTGAGGCGCCTGCTTCCGAGCTTGCAAGGTTCTCACCTCGAAATTTCCAGCTTCCATTCCCCTTCGTTTGCTCTTTTTTGGGTTTAGCAATGTTTTCCAAGTGGACCAGCCAAGCAGGAATATTCTTTGTATGAAATTAGTAGCTTCAGGTTTGATAGGTTTAATATACCTTCCTTGTACAAAGCATACCCGGGTTGATAGGCTCCTATGTACCTCGTTGAATCACACCCCATTGCGGCTTCTCTCCTCACACATACTTCCCATCTGCAAAGCACACACCCAATCAATAGCTCAAAATCGCTTCTATGATTGATGGCGTGGGGTATCAGGATCGAAAGGATATAGGTGAACATCCCACGAGATTTTCCGCTACGCGAGTGCGTGTATATCGCCGAAACCCCGGGTCCTCAGGTACACTTGCAGGGCAGGATGGTTTTCGATGTAGGCAGGGGCACCCAGCTCTCCTTAGTTGGCATGCGGTCCTTCTAGCAAATGAGGAACTCAATCCTCTTAATGTAATGTTTCATTGTACTGCACTGTTCGAAGTGCAGAAGCGAAGCCCTCAATATCGAGGGTGTTGACTGGACTAAAAAGGTACAGGGGCGCGACCACGTACAGTGGTCGCGACCCTCGTGGCAACCGAAGCGTCAGATTCTACAGTGGGCTGCACGCGAAACTGACCTGCGGGGCGCGGCAGGATACCGCGCCATAGCCGAAGCTGAAAAGTCTCGCCAGCTCGGATGTAACAAGGCAACCCAAGCGACGCAGCGCAACTGTTATACAGTTGCGCCACAGTAACCGTTTCCCTTATGCGTTTGCTATATAACAGAATGTAATGCCTTGCTATTATTACACAATTTGAATCCTTGTGTCCGGCTTTCCCTCGGCCGCCGCAGTGGCACCATGTGCCAGGCCAGAAGTGCTACCTCTGAGTGACCAACTGCCCCGCCTTAGAGTATTTCCTCTACTCTAGCGACTTTATGGATTCTAACATGTACTACTATTCATATACCTATATCTTCCTGTTTTTAATTCACCTCAAACATTTTACATTCTCTGTTTTGAGCAGGCCCTCAGATTGGTTCTGGGCTAGGCTGAAAAATCAGAGTTGGTACAAGTATTTACTCTGATAATCAGAGAAAAATACCAATGTACACTAGAAACAAACAGCATTTTCCCGTTTCCCCTAAAAAAAAGTCTGATAATTCAGCCTTAGTACAAAAAAAGAGTCTGAAAATCAGATTTTTTTTGCCAAATCAGAGAAAAAAGGCTGACTTCTGAGGGCCCACCACTACCTATCAACTGTGTGCGAACCTTCCCGAGGTGATCCTAGGGTCGATCAACTTCTGATCGTAGCATGGTATGAGAGCGACTCGAGAATCCTTCACACTGCCACCTCCGAAACACTCGGCGAACGAAATGTGGCGTCTAGCACATGCTCACGTGTAAGGATGACCAGAGGATTTGGTGGTCAGACGAATCTGACCGCTGAAGCACAGTCCAACCCGACTGCAACAACCGAGGAAACGATGACGATTGGAACTGCCGTCATTGCACAACTGCTTTAGCTACTCACCAGCTTGGAGCAAGGACTCAAAACATTGCGGAATGGCAATGCGGGAACATCTTCCCAACCCACTCGACTGGCCTCGAACGGCCAGAATACCGCCCCGCACACCTTCTCCCTCGACACAAATGGCTCAACACCCAAGACTCCCCGTCCTAGCGAAAAAGCAATTCTCAATGCGCAATCAAGGTTCCTGAGAATATCAAAAATAAAGACAAGTGCGTGTTTTGACGGCAAAGACTTCTATACATGGAGCTTCGAGCAAGAGCTACTGCTGCAGACCGCACAAATATTCCAATTTTTCGACAGGAGCTACGTGGGGCCTGCCGAAGACACCGTTGACACAAGGGCGCGTTATTACAATCAGTCCCTGATGGCGTACGGCATTTTATTGCACAACATATCGCCAGCATAGCATCTGAGCATACGCTCGTACAAAACATTACATGCTCTAGCCCTCGACGCTTTGCGCCACTTGAACGGTGTATACCAACCGAAAGATTCGGTTTCATCGAGCCGCCTGCTCCAGCAGCTACTGGAGACGAAAATGACCTCAGCGGAGAAGGCCAACAGTGTCAGAATATTATGCTCTAGCCTGTAGTGGGGTGCTCTATAGCGAGTACAACCCTTCTAGGGTTTGCTATTTGTATCCCCATTCTTGCTAGTGTAACCCCTCCTTTGTTCATTTCTTACTTGCCTAGCTAGGTCAACCCTAGCTATGGCTTCTCACTGTCCTTACTATCTTGACATGCTATCAGAGCGGTTACGCTCCTGGCCTGTGAGCCTGCCTGCTTCCGCTGCCTTCCTGTGTGTCGCGCGTCCCGTGGCGCGCGATGTTCGTTTTTTCTTCCCGCCGCGCGCTCGGGGCGCGCGGCGGTTTTCTGCCCGCCGTGGCCCCGAGGCGCGCGGCGGTTTCCTCCCTCGTGCGTCACCCCGGGGACCCGCGCTTCCCCCCCTCCCGTCGACCGCCCCGTCGCCCGTCGAAGCGCCCCCCGTCGCCCGTCGAAGCGCCCCCCGTCGCCCGTCACGGAGCCCGCGGACCCGCGCGTCGCCCCCCGTCGCCCGACGCGGCCCGCGCGACCTGCGCCAGGCCCGCGCGCGGCCCGTACGGGCTGCGCCAGGCCCGCGCGCGGCCCGTACGGGCTGCGCCAGGCCCGCGCGCGGCCCGTACGGGCTGCGCCAGGCCCGCGCGCGGCCCGGGCAGCCTGCCCCAGGGCCGCGCGCCGTCCCCCGCGCCGTCCCCCGCGCTCCTGCCCCGTGCCACCCGTTTTAGGGTTTGGGGGTGGCGAGTGTGGGGGTGGCGGTTATGGGGGTGCAAGAGTGTGCGCCGTCCCCTGCTCCTCCTCCTCCTCCGTCTCCCACTGCTGCAGCTGCCGCTGAGGGGGGTGGGTGTGTGGGGAGCCGAAGGAGTGGTGCTAGGGGGGTGACGTGGGAGTGGAGTTAGGGGTTGCAGCAGGGGGTGTGTGTTGGGGGGTGTGGGACAGTTGGAGGAGGTTGGGTGGAGGCAGCCGTCGTGTCGTCTGCAGCGCCTGTATTCCGGGGTTCTGATAGCCACCGGTAGCTCAGAGAGCCGGTTGCACCTGTCGCCCGTGGGTCCGTTGCTCCTGTCGCTGCTGATCAGACGCAGAGCCTGTTACTCCTGTATTCCGGGGCCCTTGCTCCCGGTAGCCACTAGAGCTGCACCAGAGCCGTCTGTTGCCCGTGTGTCTGCAGCTTCAGTCGTCGCCTCCACTCCTCTCTCCCCTCGCCAGCCCTCCTCCTCCTCACTTGCCCTCTGTGACTACCTCTAGCTTTGCTCATAATTGTGAACTTTAAACTATTGCTTCTTGAACTTGTGCTCAGAATGTGTGGTGACATTGTGATCCACCCTGAGCTTGTACTGCTTTGCTTGCTCTGCTGATTACACCCCACTTTGGCTATGGGGGTGTGTCAGAATATTATGCTCTAGCCTGTAGTGGGGTGCTCTATAGCGAGTACAACCCTTCTAGGGTTTGCTATTTGTATCCCCATTCTTGCTAGTGTAACCCCTCCTTTGTTCATTTCTTACTTGCCTAGCTAGGTCAACCCTAGCTATGGCTTCTCACTGTCCTTACTATCTTGACAAACAGCTACATAAACCGCTGTAGGAGTTTACACGATCAAATTGCGAAACTGGGGAGCACGATCTCGGAGGAGATTTTCGTGAATACTGTGCTCCAAGGGCTCGGCCCAGAATGGAGGCCCTGCAAGGCTGTTCTCTGACAGCAGGGGTTTATCTCGGAAGTCGCCCTATGCGCTGCCCTTCTCATCAAACAAAGAGACATGGATCAGCAGCGACCAGTGCCGCGACGAGACCGGGAACGCCTCGCCTTCTATGTAGAGAACACGGAGGAGCGACGGCCGCGTCCCCTCTACTGCAAAATCTGCATAAATTTTGGGCACTTGGCAGATCGATGCAAATCCCGATCTCGCACTCGCCAGACTAATCTGAGCACCTGGTCCGGGCGTCAAGACGCACGGAACGACACGCGCCCAGCCCAGGGGTATCAACCCCCATCGCGCAACCTGAACCCAGCGGTTCAGCATCAGCAGAAACACCCGACAATGCCTGCTCCAATCTGCAACGACATGGGGAATATGGCCATGACAGGTGGATCTCGCCGTCGCCGCTTGCGCACGCTGTCCAGAGCCAGCGCGATCGAGGCGTTTTCTAACAACAACATGTTCAGCACACGTCACGACATCAGCGACGACAACAACAAGGACTGGAACCTCCCAATCCCGCTGCTTAAAAGCCCCCCGCGCGTACCTGATTCGCGGGCGGCATCGATCGATTGGATCTCGCGCGAGCAATTCTTGAAGTTTGACACTCCGCATATTGTTACATCGCGATTGGCGCTGCTCGCACGTGACGACAACAAGCGCCACAACACCTGGTACCTGGACAGCTGCTGCGGCCAGCACATGGTGCGCTCCGAGCGTTTTGTCTCCAAGGGCAACCCGACTCCCACGGTCACTTATGTCACCGTGGCGAACAACAATCGCCTGCGCACAAGTGTGCGCGCAAGGCATCGTCGTGCTCAAAGCACGTGGAAGCCGCACGCACATCTTACTGAACGATGTGCTCATCGTCCAGAACCTGCGCTTTAACCTAGTTTTCGCCGCTCAACTCATGGATTGCGGCGTCGAACTCAGCACGGATCGCGACACGCGCGACATACACTACTTATCGCCGACATCACACAGGCAGATCAGACGAGCTCACTCCGAAAACGGGACTTACATCCTCGACTTTGATATTCCCGACTGCCTCGGCGATTCAAACAAGCTGATTGATCTCTTTCCACTGCGCTTCGAGCACATTCACCGCAGGGATTGTAAACATCCTGACAGGAGGCCGTGGGTGCCGCATCATCCTCACCCACGCGAGCTGGCACTACACGACCCCGACCTAG